TTTGAAAGAAAGTCAAACCACTGAATTGGTAGATGGCACTGGCTAAGCACCTAATACTGAAGTTTGCTGAAGTGCTAAACAAGCTTTTGTTAGAAGTAGCCTCTTCTGCAGGTGCAGAGAAAATATTTTCTTCATTTCAGTTTATTCAACTAGTACAGTTCAATGACTAGTTTATCCAAAGTTAAGAAATCAGTTGAGAGTTGAAAAAGTAGGAAAGCTTGTTTTCTTCTAAAAACTAGGTGTGAGAGAATGGGATCTACTGGTTTTAAAATTGGAAGGATATGGTGAACAGACACAGTATGCTCAATTCACTAGCTACAGATAATACTTCCTTATTTAATAAATCAGTCAGTTTTAAATGGGAAAAAAATGTTTTGGTAAACTTTTTGGTATACTTTTTTTCTTCTGTATCCAGCACATTTTAAGGTTTTATTTAACTAATTAAAAAAAACTGTGTGGTGCATTTTGAATTGCTATCCGAGCTTGACACAAAGCACAAATAAAAAAATCTGGTAAATAAGAAATGCACCATTCACCATTTTCTAATATAATAAAAATGTAAAATATTAAGAATTTTGAAACAATATTTTAATATATAATTGCTTAAATAAATGTGTTTAGATATAATATATCCACCTGGTTAGCAAAAAGAAGCACCAAATTTACTGCAAAGGCTATATTTAGTTTCAAATCAACATGTTTTAATGATTACCAGCTAATGAAAATCAACCTTTCTTTAAGAAAATAACTAAAAAAATACAAGTGCAAAACAAGATTAAAATTAATGATTAAAATCAAATTTTCTGGCTTGCTGATTTTAAATCATGATTAAAATTAGGAATTAAAATTGCTTTGATTTAAGTCAACCCACCTTGCCATGTAGAAAGGGCTCAGCCAGCTCAGAAAGAGCATTTTTCCCAGTTGTTTCTGGGACCTCTGTGTACTGCTCTTGACAGGGTCAGGTGCAATGCACAGAGAGGAGAAAGGACTGAGCAGGTATTAGTAGGGCTACTGTTGGGGAGGGCCTAGAAGATGCTCATTCTTTCATTCATGTCCTCCCTCCCCCCCAATCTGTCTCCCTGGGGAACTGGTATTACTTATTCCCTGGAGTGTTCTCAGAATCTGGGATCCTCCTTGAAGGGGATGGTCTTCAGACAGCTGTGGCTGGGAGGAATTCATGTAACTATACCTCCACAGGAGCTTTTCTGCTATGAAGGAGTGTCATGGGGTGGGTGGGGGTACAGAGACTCTGTGTCGATGACTCTGCCCTGTTTCAGATGCATGGGGATCCTCCAGGTTGTTGGGCAAGCTGTGCAGCTCATTGTGTGGGAAGAGAGGGGCTATTAGTAAGATGAGTACATTATTTTGCTTAATTACATAGTGCTAGCGGTTTTTTAAAATCAGAATTTGGACTAAACAGGTTATAACTGTTTCATTTATAATCTATTCATATCTCCATTTTCATAACTTACAAATTTGGTATTCTTTTTGGTGTCTGAAAACAATTGGCAAACAATTAAAAAATATTTTTTTAGGATGCTGTTGGATATAATAAACCGTAGAGAGATAGGAGAGCATATTTAGAGTGAACGCATCATTTTGACAAAATGTGTCATCTTGTATATTCTTAAATTTGTGGATTAATTCAAAATACAAATAAATCAGTTCTTTTTATTGATTTTGGTGTGAAACAGCTGTCAATTTTGATTTTAGAATGTGATGTACATTGTTTAGGTTTTTAATCTATACATCTGGTAAAATTATAGGGACAGAGAAATAAGGAATTAAGAGGCAGGTAACATTCTGTATTTATTCATAGATAAGGTATTGTTAAAACTTGATTATAATCTGCTTTAAGTGGCTTCAGTAGTAACTGTCTGTGACTTGATGTCCAGAAGGAATCTCCCTCTAGTGGAGTGAGATGAGAATTTAGTTAACAGATTTCCTTTTTAATATAGTTTTGATTATACTACATTATTAGTATTATTGTTTTTATTGTTTCCATATAATACACTAAGATCTGGTGGTAATCAAAACTTTAAGAACTTCATAGTTCTAAGCATAATTAAAAAAAATTGAAAACATACAAAGTGTTTGCTATACAGTGTAGTTATACAGCGTTTTGGTTTACACAATTCAGAATATTCAATTAAATACCTGTGCCCTATGAAAATATGTAGTATACTAGCATATTATCCCTGTTTTGCATCATTTCTTTAAAATAACAAAACAAAGTCTAGATTTCAGAGAAAATATTTCTTACATCATTTTGTGTGGGGTTCAGATAGGTACATAATACAGATTATAGTGTAAAGTACTGATAGTATACTAAATTTTTTTTAATAACACAATTAAAATGTATATTTATCATGTTAAAATTAACAGCATTCTTACCACCCAGTAAGAGTTCAGGGACTTACAGTATTCTGAAGCATTCCTTCTTACTAAAGTGTCTCTTTATGCAGCTCTTGGATTGCTGAAAAAATCACAGTTGTCTCGTAGAACATTTCACCTGAAATTCTGTTAGGGGGACACAGTCTTGCCACGCTAATTGCTCTGTGTTGTGTAATTGCCTGTGTGTCTCCCACCTCATTTACTATGCATCTGTCTCCTTATAGTGGAAAAGGGTTGAAACCTGGCATTGGTTACAAAGCACTTTTGGGTGAGGCTCTTGGGCTTCTGTTGTGGAGGTCAGACTAGGTGATCATAATGGTCCAGCTCCGCCCCATCAGCCCTTCTCTCCTTACGGTCTCTCACTGTCATCCTCTGTGACTTCAGCTTCCATATTGATGATCCATCCCTGACACTTTAGCTGCATGTTTCCTCTTGCTCAACTTGTCATTCGCCCTGCAGACCTAGTTCAACTCTCACTTGCCAAAAGGGCCATTCACTTGACTTGGTCTTCACCAAGCATCCATCACTCTCTCTCTCTGATCTCTCTGTTGATGAGTTCCTCCTGGTCTTTTTCAGCATTGCCTGTCAGCCCTCTGACTCTGTGTTTCTATGACTTCTAGGACATCAGTGTTGCAGACTTCTTATCTGGTCTCAGTTCTCTCCTCTTTGTCCTTACTTCCATTGATACAATTGTTGATTCTCTCCGTTCTTCACTCTCCTTCACTCTTGACTTTTTTGCCCCTCTCTCCCATTAGAAGGGACAGCTCTGCTAACCCGCAGCCCTGGGTCATTCCCAACATCTGATTCCTCTGCTCTTTCTCTTGTGCTCTGGAGTATCTCTGGCAGAAATCCTATGATCAGGTTGGCTTCCTCCACTGAAGATTGGTTCTCTCCTACTTCAGTTCTGCTATCATCCTAGCTAAACAGCTCTGCTTCTCTATCTTAATTGAGTCCCATGTCCTCTGTTCCAGCTGCCTATTTGTCACCTGTGACTCACTCCTCAAATTTGCCCCTTCTTCTGCCTCCGCTTCTCTTTCTACACAAGACCTCGCTGACTTCTTCCAAGAGAAAATTGACAAAGTATGGTGTGATCTTTCGCCTCCCCTTGATTTGCTGCCTTTTTCCTCTTCTACAACTTTCTCCATCTCTCCTGTCAGAAAGACTGGAGTTTTTCATCTACTCTCCTCCTTTATCTCCTCTTTGCACAGTGACCTGATCTCCCTTGTGTGCACTCTCATCCCCACCTTACTCTTCTCAACTTCTCACTCTTCCCTGTCTCTTCTCCTCACAATCCAAACATGCTTTGATCTCTCCTATCTTAAAAAAAAAAAAAAAGAAAAAAAAAAAAAAAAAAAATCCTTGACCCCATTTGCCAACTACCATCCCATTTCCCTTTTTCTTTTCATCTCTAAGCTCATTAAACATGCTGTGTATAATCACTGTGGGAGTTCTTCTCCATCCTAGACTCTGTACAAATCTTGCTTGTGCCCCTTGCACTCCACTGAAACTGCTCTTGCCAATGTCTTTACCTCTTCCAAGCCAAAGCTCAGAACCAATACTCCATCCTGCTTGGCCTGGTTCTATTGTTACTAGCATAATGTAAATAATAATATTGCAGTGTTAATGGGATACACTACAAGTGTGCATGTTTTTAGCGGGCTCCTTCAAGGATCTGTTCCCTGCCCAACTCTGTTCAATTTTTAAAAATCAGTTTTTAATGGAAAAAATATAAAATTATTGCTGATAAAGTTTGCTGATTACACAAAGATCAAAGTGGTAAATAGTAATGTATGTTATAGAAGGAACTGGATGGCTTTGATTACTGGACAGTCCAGCTGCTTTTTGTATTTTGCTGTAGTTCACACACACACAAGGTCATACATAAGAAAAACAAAGACTACATACTCGTGTCTTGGAAAGCAGTGACTATGGGATAATGCTAGATAATCAGTGGAACGTGAGTTCCCATTGTGATGTCACTAAAAGGGTTAATATGATTATTGGTTGTATAAACAGGGTGATACAGAATATGGGTAGGAAGATGGTGTTACTGTTGTATGTTGCTAGTGAGACCATTAATGGGTGTTGTAAAAAAGCTCCAAGAGTGACTTTTGATGTGGAAAATATGTCTTAGATGAGACAGCTATGAAGTTTATAGGTAGCTCAAGTGATAAGACCTATGGTTAAGGCTGCCAAACACTTTCCATTATAAGACCCTGTTTTTGGTTGCTGGCAACTGTGCCAAACTTGACTGCCCTGGGCTAAAATTTTCCTTTCCAAGTGTCTGCCCGAGACTGAATTTCTTTTAATGTCAGCAAAAACACGTCTTTGCCTCGCTACCAATATTCATGATGCTACCTGCAATGTCATATTTAACAACCCAACCAAACTTTTTCCTGGTATACAGTTGTTGTCTTTTTAGAATGTTGTTGTACTGTGCTACTGACATGGGGTTTTTTGTTCACATTTAAATGATCCATTGCTAATTTGTAGTTGGAATTTTAAAATGTCAGAAATAAGCCAATTATATAACTAGTAAAAGAATGATTTAATAAAATCAATCATTATTTTTCTAATCATTCTCCAAATTTTCTTTTTCTCCTTAGAATGTGAAAGCATTTGCATCATCAGATAGTCTAGCCAAGGTCCAAGAAGTAGCAAGCTGGCTTTTGGAAATGAATCAGGAACTGCTGTCTGTGGGCAGCAAGAGGCGACGAACTGGAGCATCTCTTAGAGGTAATGCTTCCTCAAGCCAAGTAGATGAGGAGCAGATGAATCGAGTTGTGGAGGAGGAGCAGCAGCAGCAGTTACAACAACAAGAGGAGGAGCACATTGCAAGGAATGGGGAAATAGGTGGAGCAGAGTCTGGACTTGGTGACAGAATTGAATCCCAGCAAGAACAGTTAGAAGAAAACAACAATAGGCTTATTGCGGTGGATGAAGAATCCACTGGTAACCAAGAGGAGGAGGAGGAAGAGGAAGAACATGGTGCTGAACAAGAGGAGGAGGTGGAAGAAGAGGAGGAAATGGACCAGGAGAGTGATGATTTTGATCAGTCTGATGACAGCAGCAGAGAAGATGAACACACTAATAGTAATAGTGTCACAAATTCAAATAGTATCATGGATTTGCCCATACACCAGTCATCTCAATTCTACATAAAGACAAAGGTGAGCAGCTTAATTTCATTTTTCTATTTTGTACTTAAGATGTTGGTTACTCGGGATTAGAAAATAAATTGCACATCTGATTTACTCTGAAATCTTCTACTGATTTGAGTGTGTTATCTGCTAGAACAATACACTTCTGGGAATACATTGATTCTTAACATAATATACTATGTCTCACCTATTAATAATCAAACTCTTTAGACATGTTTGATATAAATAAATAAAGCTGTTCATAGACTGATAGAAGTAGAAGTCTGGAAGGGACTTCAAGAGGTCATCTCGTCCATCTGAGGCAGGATTAAGTATACCTAGACTATCCCGGAAAGGCTTGTCTAATCTGTTCTTAAAAACCTCCAGTGATGATGATTCCACAACCTTACTTGATAATCTGTTCCATCACTTAACTATCCTTCAGAAACAAAGCTTTATGTATTCGATGGAACACATTCTTAACTTCTTTCATATCATAATCCTACAATCTCCCTAAAATGCACTAAGGAACCATTTGTGACATTTTCGTTCTCAAAGGAAGCATGAGAGCTTTTTATATCAAAAGACGGACTGGACAAATGCACTTTAAACTAGAGACAGGAAATGGGAGAATGCTCAGCTCCTCATCCTAGCCAGCTTCAAGTGACTTCCTTGGCTAAGTGTAGGTGAAAAAATAATAGTTCAAGTACAAAGTTGTCATATAGCACTGTGGGGTTTGTGAAGAATAAGGAAATCACATTTAATAATTTAAAGGGTCATTGTCAATTTAAAAAAATATCATTCTTCTGTCTGAAAATGTTGAATTTACACGTAGCCTCTATGGGCTTTTCTGTACATGAGACTTAGTGTGCAGCAAGCCTGGGTGTGAATCTACAGTTCATCAACCTGCCGTACACTAAGTAGCCGCATGGACTCTGTTGCCATGCGCTAACATTTCCTTAGCATGAAGGTCTAACAGCGGTAGGTCAGAGTGCACTCCAGAAGAAGATCCACATGGATGCTTAGTGCACAGCAGGTTGATGCATTGTAGATTTACACCCACGCTTGCTGTGGACTAGATCCCTGTATAGACTAACCCTCAGATTATTGAAAGACTGAAAAAGATTTAAAAGATAATATTCTTTGCTTTTAAAAGTTTTTTGTGTGATCAACTTCACTGTTTGGTGGTGGTGCAAGTCATTTCCCAGGCTCTTCAAGAGGGAGTTTACTAATCTTAACAGCAGCAAAAGTGAAATTAAAGCAGCCACAAGCAGTAATGTGGACAGAGAAAGAGGTTGGTGGAGAGTGGCTATGAGCATGAATGGTGTTGCTCCTGGGCCTGCCCAATAGATTCTTCTAAATATCAACAGCAGAAAGAGAAATTCCTTTTACTCCCTCAATAAATAAATAAAATAAAAAATTATATGTATTATTTAAAGAGTGCATTATCAGAAAACTGAATTTTAATTGTTTAATAACAATTGTTTATTATCTTAAATATCTGAATAATCGTTTATTATCTTAAAAATATCAATTTGGCAGTATCTCTTCAAATCTGCTACTTAATTTCAAGGTGATGGGCATATTTTAATGTCAAATGTACCAGTATAAGCATACTGATAGAAATACTGTACCAGAATCTATGCAACTACACTTGTACAGACATATGGATACCATTTGTTTTCCAGATTTGCAGTAGTGTGTTTCAGGTATTGGTATTAGAATCTAAATCTCCCATATGTTTAAGTTTTATATCTATTGTGTTGATTGAGATGCTTGATTTCAAAAGTTGTAAAAGGATCTTTCTAGGTTGTTTTTTAAAGGAAATAATGGAATTTTACATGTACATTTTTACCTGTCCTAAATGTTGAATTATGTGTCTTTGAAGAAATCCCGTTTTTAAAAGATGTTGTAATAGAAACACTAGCATCTCATTGCCAAGTTTTGTCAGATTTTCTTGGCTCTGTTAGTCTTACAACCACTAATTTTTCTGCTATGATGCTTTTTTTCCAACCAGCGCAGTGTGATGAGGAACGACATAACCATCTATACTCAGCCATTTTGAACTCTGTGCTGAACATACAGTATCCCTCCACCCAAAAAGCATTTAAACTTGCTGGATCAGTAAGTTCAGAATTCGTAATACAACTATGTAAACAACAATACTCAACATACATGCATGCACACAGAGCAAGAGATAGTGGTTAATGGTCTTTACTTTTGCTGCTTTTTCATAATGAATAAAATCTTTATTATTTTTTAAACAAGACACATTTGCTGTAAATAAGATTCTGGTGTTTGGAAAGCATGCATAGTTAGCATTTTTTCTGTATTGTCTGATAGCCACTTTGCGTTTTGATTCCATTACTAAGACTACAACAGCACAACAAGAAAAAATAATTTTGGCTAACTTGTTTTTAAATCATCTAAGTTTAAAAATACAAACATCTTCTGTGTAAAGAAACACTGCAGAAGTCCTGCAAAAAGTTAAATGTTGTATCACACTCAGTTGATGACAGAACATGAACAATTACTATCTGAAGCAGGGTTGTAGAAGGCTAAAAAAATTGACATGCTTATATGGAATAGCATTTTTGAGACAAGTACAGTATTTGTGGACTCTTATTAATTCTAGTAAGTGTGATTTCTAGCTCTGACTATTGTAAATTGAAATCAAGTGGTATATTGTGTGAAAAGAATACCATTCAAGTCTGATGACTTTTTTCATCCAAATAGTCTCAAAAAGTTAAAATGATATATTTTTACATCTTCACATATGCTTTTTTGGGCTCATTAGTGTCTGATGCTGTAGTCTGATTACTTACTGCTTCTGGTCAGATTACCTAGCCCCTTAAATGTAAATTATTTGTACATTAATTTAACTTGTTTTGTACTACCACCTTCAGGAGAAACAATGTGTGCAATCTGCAGCATACTGTCTAAGAATCAACCATAAGTTTCTTTCTGGTTTTAGGTGAAACTTAAAAAGTATATTCATTTTTGGTTTCAGTTTTGCAGTAATGGTATCTTTATTTTTTTTAAATCTCTACTGGAGTGGTAAACTTTCTCATTGTGCCATTGGTAATGCAGCAGAGAATTTATGTTACCTTCCTTGTCCAGAAGCTCATATAAAAGTATGTCTGGTCGTTCTGTACTAACTACCACTATTTGCTGGCCCCAAGGAGCACTTTTTAAAAAATTTTTTTAAAGTCTTAAGACTATTGTAGAACTCTTTCCTTCCTAGATAAAATCAGAAAACATGTAAAGTAACAGTTATATTTCATGATAATAGTTATGGCATCTGTTTGATAACTAAACAACTACTATTGCCAAACAAATGCTCATCTAATTATTATTATGAATGCAGTTTATTACGGCTAATCTCAGGAGTGTACATCCACCAATCTAGAACAACTACTAGGTTGGTCCTGTCTTCTGTAGCAGGGTAGGCAACATGTGCAACATTTTTCTTTCTGCAAAGATAACAAGTAGCTACCAATATAGTAATACCAGTATTGTTCAGCTTATGTTAACTGTTAGACCTCATTTTTAAATCCTTTTTATTTCTGTTCCCTTTCTTTTAACTTAAACTGCTGAGTGAAGTCTCTAACCTGATTTTTTTTTTCTTGTCTTGTGGGATCCTGTGACATTAAGGAAAGTTCCCTCAAGATTCCCACGTAAAGACATAATGTATCCTAGTTATGCTTGCCAACTAAAGTCTAGTTATGCTTGCTCCTAATATTACTCTTCCATATAAGCAATTGCTGTAGTTTTACAGGGATGTTTTGAAATTGCAATGAGTAAAGAAGGTGGTCTATATGATTGTGAATGGGAAGGAAATTGGTTCTTTATACACTTACTTAATGTGATCTATGTTGTGAAAAAAAATGGACTGTTCAGACAGCTGAGACCAGTCAGCCTAATTCTACCAAATATGGTCACAAATCTCCATGATGGAAAACAGAAAATAAACTCCCCTATGCCAAAGGTAGGAGGTGTTGGAGGAGATGTGTGTCTCTACAAAAGGCCTCTAAGGCAGGTCCAGTGATTAAGATGTGTAGTTTCTCTGTCTGTCCCCACTCCTGAGAAAACACCATCACAGAATGACTGTGACAGTACAGTGACCCCGTTTTAAGACTCCTGTTTGAGTTCAATAGTGCAGTGAATTAAGGTTTCTGGCACAAGGTTTGGTTCTTGGGCCACAGGAAATTGTTCCCAAGTTGTTGAGTGGGAGGCAGGTGAATGGCAGCGACTCTACATTAAGGAGCATGCCCTTTCTTTAAAGGCAGATAGCAGCTTGAATTTTGGTGTCATTTTATTCTTTTCACACCAGTGTCCTCTTTTCCAAATGGAACTTCAGTAGCCATTTCTCACATGCCCACGCAAGTGGAGATTTTGCCCAGCTCTGCTCCTTTGCAGGGATAGAGTTCCAAATAGCGTTGTTGGCTGTTCTTCCCCATCCTGTGGGATGCAAAAAGACTCAAATTTTGAAATCCAGGTAAATAAGCCTTCAGAGAGCTGGGGAATTTTTAGACAGCAAGCGGTTGTTTTTTCTCTCACTGCCTTTTATGAAATGGAAACCTATCCCATCTATTCTATAGACTCAAGTGACAGGAAGCTGTCATCTACTACTGGATATTAAAGAAATGATTAAGCTCTTGTCAAGACCTTCTTTTCACATAATAGCTTGCCAGAAGTTTTCCTAGGAGAGTTGTTCATAGGCTTGGCAGACCATCAGATGCTTATTTCAACATTCCTAGTCTTCCTTCTCACCAAAATATGCCTGAGGTTCCATAGTATTGAGGTTTTCACATGAGGGTGGCTAATGGGCACTTTAACAGAAGGGTGTATGTCTGCACCTGTACTTGGATAACAGGCTAATGTGAACTTCCTAAAAATCAGAAGCCAGGTCTGCAACTGAAAAGATTCAAGAATATGGAGACATGGGTGAGTCAGCAACCATGAAGAACACTTTGACTTCCTTCTAGAAATTAATATAGCTGAGGGTTTGCTTTATTATTGAAGTGGTC